TTGGACTACAATTGCCATCATCCTCTATTAAACCCAATTCTGAGAGGAAAGGGTTGACTACAAATGCCATCTTCCCCCGCCCCATTAAACCCCTGTAGCTAGACTGCAGTTGCCATCATCCTCTCCATTACACCCCATTCTAAGAGGGAAGGGTTGGACTACAAAGGTCATAATCCCCCATTCAACCCTTCTGGCTAGACTACAATTGCCATCATCCCCCATCAAACCCCATTCTGGGAGAGAAAGCTTGACTACAACTGCCATCACCCCCTCTATTAAGCCCTATTCTGGGAGAGCAAGGTTGGACTACAATTGCCATCATCCTCTATTAAACCCAATTCTGAGAGGAAAGGGTTGACTACAAATGCCATCTTCCCCCGCCCCATTAAACCCCTGTAGCTAGACTGCAGTTGCCATCATCCTCTCCATTACACCCCATTCTAAGAGGGAAGGGTTGGACTACAAAGGTCATAATCCCCCATTCAACACTTCTGGCTAGACTACAATTGCCATCACCCCCTCCATTAAGACCCATTCTATCAGGGAAGGGCTGGACTACAATTGCCATTATTCCCTCCATTAAGCCCCATTATGGAAGAGAAGGGCTGTACTACAGCTGCTATCAGCTCTCCATTTAGACCCGTGCTGTCAGGGAAGGGCTGGACTACAATTGCCATCATCCCCTCCATTGAGCCCCATTATGGAAGAGAAGGTCTGGACTACAACTGCTATCATCATCTTCATTAAGACCCATTCTGTCAGGGAAGGGCTGGACTACAATTGCCATCATCCTCTCCATTAAACTCTATTCTGAGAGAGAATGGCTGGACTACAATTACTGTCATCCCCCACTAAACCACATTCTGGGAGAGAAGGGCTCAACTACAATTGCCATCATCCCCCTACTTAAACCAGATTCTAAGAGGAACTTGAGTTCCCTTTCGGGGGTAGAGAAGGGCAGGGTACAAATATTTGAAATAAATAATTAAATAAAAACTTGTTGGACTACAAATGCCATCATCCTTCCCCCAAACCATGGCTTCCCATTCTGAGAGGGTAGAGTTGGATTATAATGTCCCATTGTCCCCCCGCTCCAGCTATGGCTTCTTTTCTGGGAGGATTGAATTGCAACAGTCATCATCCACCCACCAGAGATCCTATTCTGGGTGGGAGGGTTGGACTATAGCAGCCATCACCCCCCAGCCACTGCTTCCCATTCTGGAAGAGTTAGACCACAACAGCCACCATATTAATGGCTGCCCACCCTTCTCACCCTTTAATCCAACTCCTTCTAATGGGGAGTTGGATTAAAACAACAATTACCCCCTCTCTGGGTGTTCCAACAGCCACCATCAACCCACTTAGACCCCCATTTTGGGAAGGAAGAGTGGATTCTAAAAGCTATATTGAATTGGTTGAGACTCTATGTGATATTCATTGAAAAACTATATCAAAATGTGCTGCAGGATGTCCCTTCTGCAAAAGCAAAGTTTTTGTAGTTTAATAAATTTTGTCCATGTTTTTATGATATAACCAATTAAGAAATTACATTTATAACCCAGGAACAAAAATTATGTTACATGGTGTTATCCCTCCACCAACCGTGGCTTCCCATTTTGATAGAGATGTTTCAGTTATAACATTCCATTATCCTCCCAGCGAGCATGGCTTCCCATTCCAGAAGAAGGGAAAGGTTGGGCTACAACACCCATCATCCTCCCACCAGCCACAGCAGTGTTTCTCAACCTTCATAGAATCAAAGAGTTGGAAGACACCTCACGGGCCATCCAGACCAACCCCATTCTGCCAAGAAGCAGGAATATTGCATTCAAAGCACCCCTGACAAATGGCCACCCAGCCTCTGTTTAAAAGCTTCCAAAGAAGGAGCTTCCACCACACTCCAGGGCAGAGAGTTCCACTGCTGAATGGCTCTCACAGTCAGGAAATTCTTCCTAATGTTCAGATGGAATCTCCTTTCTTGTAGTTTGAAGCCATTGTTCCATTGCGTCCTAGTCTCCAGGGAAGCGGAAAACAAGCTTGCTCCCTCCTCCCTGTGACTTCCTCTCACGTATTTATACATGGCAGTCATGTCTCCTCTCAGCCTTCTCTTCATGCCCAGCTCCTTAAGCTGCTCCTCATAGGGCTTGTTCTCCAGACCCTTGATCATTTTAGTCCCCCTCCTCTGGACACATTCCAGCTTGTCAATATCTCTCTTGAATTGTGGTGCCCAGAATTGGACACAATATTCCAGGTGTGGTCTAACCAAAGCAGAATAGAGGGGTAGCATTACTTCCCTAGATCTAGACACTATGCTCCTATTGATACAGGCCAAAATCCCATTGGCTTTTTTTGCCGCCACATCACATTGTTGGCTCATGTTTAACTTGTTGTCCACGAGGACTCCAAGATCTTTTTCACACGTAC